ATACAGAGTTTTTCTCCTGTTTTTTTAAAGAGTAATTTGCCTTTTATTATTGGTGTCATTTTTCTCTTTGTCCATCAGAATTAAGAAATCACAACAAGACAGACACACACATGGGTGTTCACTTCAAACTCTCTCAATCCAATCAGGATTTCAAAGATTAGATTTATTAGCCTCATTTGATGCAACATGTCCGGTCATTCTTGACTGCACTAAATTGGTTGAACACACACAAAATAAAGGCACAGCAGGTGATGTTATCTATAATTCACAACATTAGAAAAGACGGAATTCACTGTTTAATGGATACATCTGAATTTCTAATTGCTCGATCTGTTTTCAAAACAACAACTTAAGTTTAAACGAGCAAAAAAAAATGTTTAAATCATATTCTTAAATTTTATTTTACTTAAAATATACGCTCTCGATCTCAAATTTGTAGTGTCTTGCCCCTGTAAATCATACTTTTCCTGATAACAGCGGAGTTGTGCAGGTCATCTACGTAACTCCGTTATAGAGGAAATTTTTTTAATTGAAGTCACGTGTACAGTAAATCGGTCTTGACTTTCACCATTCACGAGATTAAGGATAGACAGACAGTGGGAATTTATAAGTCTACAATTTTTTCAAACTGAAGCACAAGAAAAGTGGGATAATACATTTCTACTTTGTTTGAATATTATTTATACTCCTCCCCCATTTTTTTTTATTTTAAAAGTTTGATTTAAGTTGCTTTATCCCCTTCCTCTTTTTCTTTTCTAAATTCGAAACAAACTTGGGATTAAGTAGTCAGAAGTTAGATGCAACTGGAGGAAAGATTCGGTCTGCGTTTGACAAGGTGAAGGTCCAACGATGTGTTATGCGATCCTATCCAACAGCATCAGGAAGGTTTTAAGTTGCAGGTAAAGTTCGAGAAAAATCCATAATTTACTAGATCGGGTTTCGATAAAGAATCAAAGACCGATCTTTTTACTGTATAGGAGAAACGTTGCCTCTTCCAAACTCTGAGAATCAAAAGCAATCAATTATATCGGAGCCAGCTGCTGAAGACAATGGATATCAGGCGACAAAAATTTCTATTTTGCCTCCATTTCTGTGTGCTTTTGCTGCACTCAATTCGCATTTTCCATTATGCCATATAAAGAATTTTTTTTAAATATAAAACATAAACTAAAACTTATGAAATGTAACATAAAAATTATTTTTTTAAAAGTAAGAAATTGTTTATAAATATAAAAAACGAACGGTTTAAGAACTTCACCACCCCGTAGAAGTAAGGAAAACATTGTTTTATATGTCTCTATTAAGAAAAAATGCACTTCGTAGTTTAAAATTCTATTATTTTTTTTTATAAAATTTCAATTGAATACAGTGAATATTTAAAATAAAAAAATGGGTATAGATTTGATTAATGTAGAAAAGTAATTTACTTATACAACTGTACTTTATCATTCCATTCACATCCTGTATTGATAAACGTATACATCCTGATCATCTATGGCTATTAATATTGGGATATTGTGCATCAGTGTGCAGTAACCATTAGACCTATATTTCAAATACAATAACGGAGATTACATTTGATACAATCACGAAAACAGAACTGATATTCCAAATGGTAGAATAACTCCAAAACAACTACATTTTTTTCCATTCACTGATTGAACATTTCTTATCTTTCTTACTTTAAAATAAAATATATATATATATATATATATATAAACTTATTTCAAAACAAAGAAAAAAAATATATATAATTCTCTTATCTGAAAAAGAATAATATCATTAAACTATTTCATAGACTATTGCAAATAGTGATGTAAATTTGTATAAGTTGCTTTAAAGATTAAATGTTTGTTTTTATTATTATTATTTTTTTATTTTCCAATGTTTTTCTCTTTAGAAAATTAGAAACTTTTACATAAAATAAGATTATTTAAGTGAGAAAAATGGTTGGAAAAATTCGTATAATTGATTATTTGTAAATTCAGAAAATGAAAAATTGTCATGTGAAATTTCCACCATTTGCTAAAACATCTTCCAATTTTCGTTTACATTTCTGCAATTTCTGAAATTTTAAAAATTCCTGATGTAAATGTTTCCTCTATTTTACAAAAATAAAGTCGAATTTTTCTAGATTTTGAAGGTAAAATTTAAAAAAAAAAAATTTCCTAGTTTTCCTCTGAAATTTCAAAATGTATGTATGCATTTACATATTTTCAAAATAATTTCAAAAAATATAATATTTTCTTAGAGAAATAAAATTTATTCTTCTCTAAAATTAAAAATTCTCTTTCTGTTTACTTTTTCCTCTTTCTCTTCTTTATCATTCCTGAATTTTCAAAAAAAAAAAAAAATTAAATGGAAGATGACATTTTCTACTTTCGTATATACTAAATATATATATATATAAAATTCATTTTAATACTTCCAAATTTCAGAAGAAATTTCATATATTTATTTTTAATAAACGAAAAGAAAATAAATATGAAAAACAAAGAAAAATAGAAAAAAAAAATTTTTGAAATTTGAAAACAAAAAAAATGAAATTTTAATTTTGCATATATATTTTGAGACAAATTGTAAAGAAAGAAAAAAGGTAAAAGAAAGAGGAAAACAATCATTTTAGTTAAGGGTAGGGGTGTTTTCTTTGTAGTATATAAATTCCATTAACGTGGAACAATAACGAGAATTCAATGATACTTTTACAGCCAAGTTCATAACATCTGATTAATGTAGAGAGATAAGGAATTGCTAAATCTCGTGGGAGATAAATAATGCGTGTGGCTGGACATTACACCATCGACACGTTGTATAATTTTTGAAAAGTGGTACTAGGGGGGGGCAATATCGATAGTTTTGTCGATTCGGAAATATACGTTTAACCCGGTATAGTGGGTGTCGCCAAATGGTGCTTTGGGTGGGTGCTGATGTAACATAAGTTACTGTGCGTGACTTGGGTACGAGCTTTGGAAATTAAGAGCTAAAGCCACTTGGCCAATACAGATCGATTAACCCCGGATTTTATCACACTATTTCAGCTTTCTAGATAGATGCTGGGGTCGATCACTTGCCACCAAAACCAAAAAATCTGACGACTTTCTTCGTCTCTTATATAATAAACCTCTGTGTTTAATACTTAAGAATACGTGGAAAATTTTTAAAATGGGTAGAAAATTTACGAGAGAATGGTTTTTTTTTTCTCTCCCCTACATTCAAAAATATATATAAAATTGCAATCCCCTTCACCACACTTTAGATTCGGTTATTAGGAAACTACATAGAAATTTTCTTTAAGTACAAGCGTACTTATTACTACGAAACGATTGCAAAATGCATCTACCATTCGAAAATTTGCTATTTATAGTCAAGTAAAAAAAAATAGAAAAAAAAATATTCTAAAATATTCGAAATTAAATAGAAGATATGATGGAGTCATTTAGAAAACCACATCTCTTATCAGTATCTAATATAACCTAAGTAGATCGTTTAATAGGTTATTTAAAGTAGATTACGTGCACTATTCATTGCGAATAGTGCACATTTTTGTTTTAAAAATATTAAAAAAATTATATATATTTATACATAAAAAACGAAATAAAATATATCATTAAACTTGGCAAATCTTGGATAGATTCCAGTTAGACATACAAGAGATTATATAGAACATAAGCGAACTTGCATGACTTCACCGTATAAATTTTAATTCTAGATCGTTTTAATTTATAACATATATATTAAAGAATATAAATACGCCATTTTAGATCATTTGCAATTGATTAAAATTACGAAATTGTTGGTTTGTAAATATATTTTTAAGCGTTAAAATTACTCAATCTTGGCGCTCCGTTTCAATATACCAAAAATGGGTACTCCGTACTCGTGCACGCAAAAATAAAATTTAATAATTAATTATATAAACAGTTTTAAAATTTAATAAATAAATAAATAAATAAGTAAATAAACTCACCGATTAAATCTTACTTTGAAGTTATTGATGCCAGGGTGGAGAGCGCAAAACGATCTGAAAGTGTCACACCTGTCCATAATGTCAAAGCATGTATATGTGACACTTCAATAGTAAACACTTCTACGATTTTATAGCGTATTGCATTGAGCATTTGGATATATTTGAACAGGTTATAATCCACAGGCGAGATGTAAGTGTTTGCCAGTAAGCAAGTATCACCATGTCATGCTAACCTGCTGGGCTTCGTGCGCCACTGCATCGACGTTCTGCGTCAGGCGTCTGCTTCACCTACTAACTGGCATTCTATTGGTGGAGGCACGACTCGTTACAGCTGATTGGATGATTTACTCACTGTGAGCCGTACCACTTCCATCAGCAGGTAGATGGTATGGTACGTAGAGATGCTAACTACACCCCCTTTTCAACCGGGTACTCTTCTCTTTGATTGTTCATCCGGAATCGGGATAACTGTCAACAACTCCCTACAAACAAGCGGTCGATTCGTTTTAACGGGGGTTTTTCCTCCCTATTTAACGTTTAACCGTATAATAAAATAATCCTTTAAAGTAATATTAAAGAAGAAAAAAAAAGAAAAGTGGGATTTTTACTCTTCTACGATATTTATGCAAATATTTCTTTGGCGGCTATTAAAAATAAAAGCAGATTTATGTAATACCCAAATTAATCCAGTCGACGAAGAGAATAAAAAGAAATGAGAATAATAATGCTTTTCTAAAGAAAATCGATAGTTGAAAACAGAAAGCTTTGTGCAATGTGAGTAGCTAACAAAAGAAAGATTTGCATGATTTGAAGCTGGGTCGGATTTCTTGTTAAGTAGTTTAGAAGGGGTCCCGAATAAAAATAAACCAAAAAATAACTTCCAAGAAGGAACGTCAATTAAATACAACCAATCGACAGTTTTTAAAAGATGTACTGTACATTGGGACATTCTGATTCTACGCTTGTTTTCATAGAATCCAATAGATTTATCCTAAACGAGACGTGATGAGAATAACAAAATCTTACTTTGCTTAGAAGGAAAGTGACTTTTCCGAATTACAATTATATATATACAGCATATATGAGGTCTTTTTTTTATTTTTCTTTCCTTTTTTTTCTTTATTCAAACGATCGAAAATAGATTCATAATGGGAATGGTCTTTCTTTAATGAACTCTATAAGAGATTTTATAATCAGTTTTCATTTATAGAAATTAATGTTATATATTTAGAATTGGATAAATGAATTAAGGAAATTTTTAAGGTTTCATTATTTATTTTATTTTATTTTTTTTTAATATTTTCTTATAGGAAAGAGCGTTTTCTTATATGAAATTTTATTAGATTTATACAAAACTTTTATTATAATTTCACTCGTTAAAGCGAGGGAATGTGCTTATTTTTAATGAAAATATTTTATTTCTCTTATCGAATTTTTCTCAATATCTTTTCTAACTTCAAATTTACTTTTTTTCCAAATTGTAGTAGTGTTTAGAATGGGACGTTTATCACTTTCACTTGTAATTAGATTATATTAAAATTTATTATTCTTTTATTTATTTAGTTTTACAGTTTAGTTCTTATTAAAGTAATCAATTTTTTCTCAATTTTAAAGGAAAAATATTTTAATTCTTTCCCTATTTCTAACTGATTACCCTGTTTTAATTTCCTTCTTGTCCATACTTTCATTGATATTTTCTACTTCGTTCCTCTTACGTTCTACACACATTTTAAAATTCAAATTTATTTTTTAATATTAAAATTATATTATATGCCAGAATTTAATTTTTGTAACATTGTATCAAAAAAAAATATTCTCATTGAAACAAGCGTATGTATTTTCTTTCATAAACCTTTTCTCTTTCATCCTCCGCATCCTCCGCATCAATATCCAACTTCCAAACAAATATAAATAACTTTATGAAAGAAATAAATCAATAGTCTTGCAGATCTTTCGACAAAATTGAACTATTTATAAGCACAGCCAATTAAAATCCATTTTAATTCTTAATGATGTTAATTTAATGAGATTTAATAAAGTTAATTTTCTTAAATAACTGATCAAAGTCGACTATTTTCGCCCATGTATCAAGAAAAGATAAGCAAAGATATATACTTAGATTACTTCCTACAGAAAATCTATTTGATTAATTCCAATCTATTCCGACAAGCAATTCATTAAAGAGAGATTTATCACTACTTTATTATTCTAGGAATAGCAATAACAAAGATAAAAAAAAATCAAGAATATAATACAATCTTTAATAGCTTATATGATGAAATCAGCTAATTAAATATCCAGGATTTCATCTCGATAATAAATGATTTAGAATATGCTCGTCGTCATATTCTTTTTGCTTATTAACAAACTTTTCCATCTGTAAGAGAGCAGAGAATTGGATAAAACATTTAATGGGTATATAATGATACTAATATAGAGAAGTAAGGTAGGATTAAATTCCATTATACAGAAAACATTTCCAAAAATTCTCGAAACTTGCTATTTTCGAACTGCTGCATCGCTCAGTTCTATATCCTTCATCCGAAGCTAGTATACACTAAGCAAAGTGACATAAGCCTCAGTCCCTGGAGATCATATGATCAATAAGCTTTCCTGCCACTTGCCAATCCATCTTCCAGCCACTCCAATTTTCTACGTTTTCACTCGTGCAATTGGATCGTCACCTCTACGTTCACGCCTTTGGAAGTTCTTCATTACCTGGTAAAGAGCGTATGACGTCATTACGGACATCCCCAAAACTCCAATTTGAAGCTGCAATTTATGAGTTGGCTATCGTTACAGATAACAAATTTTTGATATATATATATATATGTTTTTCTTCATATTTCATTAATTTTATATATATATACAGGTAGCATTTTAATAACATGTTATTAATTTGTAATATAGAAAGTTCTACCCCATAATTAACATTAAACTATATTGCCAAAGTTTTATTGATGATTATATAAAAGAATACGATTAAAATTTAATGAAATTTTTTTTATAAATTTATATGTAAATATTTAGTATAAGATGATAAATTATTTACATCTTCCACACGTTATAGAATAATCACAAAGTAAAGAATATCTTCATAAACGTCTACATGCACGAAACTTTTAAATTCAGTTTTGCTAATTAAACTCCCGCTTAAATTTCCATTTAACCATTAAAATCTTGAGTTTTAGCAAAATTTAATCATTTAATTTACATGATTAAATTAGCATAACAGATTTTTACTTGGCTCCTTATTTACAAATTTGTTAAAATTACATTAATATACGCTAATTTTTTTTAAAGCTTGGCAAATTACATTTTGATGTTAAATCGAGTTAAAAATTTCCTTATTTTAATTCGTACTTCTACCCGTATAGAGTTATTGACCTTATCTAGACTTTACTGACAAGAATAACATCATCAGCCTCATCAGATACATCCCACCTGCATATAATGAACGATCCTCTATATCCAGAATAATCCACGCCAATGCATTTATCAAATAAGCTATAAATAAAAGAAAATTTTCAATAAAATCTTTTTCCCCCCCCCTTCCTTACCCCTCTTCATAATCTCGTACGAGAAGATAATACAAAGTATAGTAATAAAGGTATATAACACGAGACATAAGGGATATATACAGCAAAGACAATATAAAAGATTTTTACATGTGTCTTTAAATAGGTTGCCCTGTCAACGTGGTTGAGTAAGGACGTACTTAACTGTATCCACCTCACTTGATAGTTAACGAAACACCACTGACAGTATATATATTTTAAAACCGTACTTGGCAATTACGTTTTTAATGTAATAAATGCGCTGCAGGTGCTGAACACAGCAGTCATAAATGCTTTTCTTCTCTACCAAGACATTAATTTAAATTAATCACTTTTACTACATAAAACTCTTTCTCTATAATTGCTGGGGCGAAACTCAAAGAAAGAGGGTGGAATATAGGGACCTTAGCTACATAATAATGCATTTAAGCATATGTTCAGTAACAATAGGTGACTGAACAAATTAGCATACTTTGTTGCCAGATCAAAAATTCCTCCTACAAATCATCCCACTAATGGGAGCCAGATAACTTTCAAGCTTGTTTCAACTCGTGGTTTTGGCGTGAACTTTCATCATTATATATAAATATATATATTTTTTTAATTTTATAATTGATGAATCAGATTTTTTTCTACGCTAAATTTAAAAAATATTAAGTGTACTTATTAAATGTAATTTAAATGAAGCCAGTATTTTAATTATTTAATAAATATTTTCGTTAGACGTAGAACGAAACTTTCACATTTAAGGAAATGTAAATGTATTTTTAATGATATATTTTTTTTGTTTATCTTATTTTTAATTTTTACAGCTTCCTTTCTATGATTTTAATCTTGAAAATTTATATATTTTACTTTATTATTATTATTTTTCTTTTTTTTTAAAAAATTTTCTCTCTCGTTTTTCAATTTTATAATTCGAATTAATATAGTATTAACGAATATTTAAATTATCCAATAATTAAATATTCATATTTTGTATCTATAAATACATGTATAACAGGATAATTAATTATAATTAATATACAGGATATTATTTTCTAATTTTTAATGAATTTACTGTATTAATTTCTATACTTTAGTTTACAAAATTTTATGCTCTATATAGAGAAACAAATTAGATGAATTTACGAAATTACTAGAGGATACAGGATTATATATTATTTTTAATTTATATATATTACAAGAAACATCATTTACAAGATAAAAATTGAAGATGAGGATAAACATTTTGCAGATTTAAAAAGCATGAGAAATATTAAATCACTGGCGAAAAAACTCGCAGATAACATAAAATTAGCAAACAAATTTCACAAATTTCATTTTTTCCCTCCTTACTGATGCGGGGATGAGAGAAAAGGATGAGAGAAAGGGAGGAAGAAGAAACTTTG